AATAAACTGATGCAGGTAGTCCTCGACATACAACCACAACTGAGCCCAAAATGTAGGTTGCTAAGCGAGAGAGTTGTTAAATGAATTTTGCCCCATTTTACAACCTTTCTTGCCAGGTGTTAAGTAAATCGCTGCAGTCGTTAAGGTACTAACCTGGTTGTTAAGTGAACCTGGCTTCCCTATTGGCTTTGCTTGTCGGAGTGTCGCAGAAGAGGATCGCATGACCCTGGGACACTTCAACCGTAATAAATACGAGTCATTTGTCAGCTGCCTGACTCTTGATCACGTGACCACAGGAATGCTGCAATGGTCGTCAGTGTGAAAAACAGTCATAAGTCACTTCAGTGCCCTTGTAACATTAAATGAACTGTTGTAAGTCGAGGACTGCCTATACATCAACAGACAAGGATTAATTTCTGTTTACATTATGTGGGGGAAACTGCAGTCCATTTAATATATATTTGTGAAAGACAAAAAGATTTTTATTTTGGGAAATGAGAAGTAGATATTAGGAGCAAGATTGATAATGCACCACAGTTGGGGTGAATGTGAATCTATAATAAGATTTATAGACTCAATCGTATTTAACCTCCTGTCCTTATCCTATACAGCTGACAAAAGGGAGAATGTTTTGGTGCTCCTCTTCTCCCTTCCTGCCCCCATGTGCTTCTTAGAAGTATAGAAGAATAAATGGGGGATCCAGGGAGTCCTTTTAGAATACTTTGTGCAGAGGTAACTGGCTGGCCTCAGGTTTCAGGGTTACGTTATTTATTGTGATTCCGCTTGACACCTGAAGTGGTAAAGGAGAAAACGAAGAAGATGATCCAGGATCCATTTTGTTTTATTTAGCAAATAAAACAAAAATATCAAAAGAAAGATGGGCTCTATGCCATTAATTGACATGTTAGTGTTTAGAAAATTGAATTTGTTCTGAAGAAAATGCACAGTCCTAATTCATTTACTAAAAGCCCTAATTAAATATACTGATGAAAAATTAGATTTTTGTTCTCTTGTGTACAAAGGTTAAAAAAAAGTCATAATCATGAGTCAGGTTCATTATTCTGCTGGCATAGAGCTGCCTTCAACTTGGTCTAAAACACAATTAAGTTTGATTCCACTACAGCTTGTGAATTACAACACACTCCTCGCTGTATATCATTGGCTGTGAGTAGGTATTATAAGTATGTAATTTGTCTGTCCCTAAATGTGTATCCATAGTTGTCTGGTTCTCATCCAACACTACATGTAAGTGTGATTTGCTTTAGGTTTAGCAAGATATCAGAACACACCCATAATGGCTGAGTGTTATGAATTAACAAATCACAGCTTGTTTGTTAAATTAGGGTTTAAAAATGTTAGTGATTGGTGGACTGGACTTTATACCTGAATCTATATTTAGAAAAGAGAATAGATTTTATCTCTTTGATGATGTATTGCTATTTCAATCATGTTGCTTTCTTTTATCATTTCAAATTACACATCAAGGTATATTATAAAAAGCGATAGTTTTACATTATATTAGAACATTCTATGATTCGAGCAAAAATTATATTCAGTGTTCGGGCTGATATAGGCATCAGTGATTTCGCTTGGTCTCTTTCAGCTTCTATTTTATTTTGCAGTGGCTAAAAGACTGCAAAAGGACATTCGGTACAGATGATGGGATTCATGGAGCTACCACAGATGCTCAGGTAGGAATCTGCTTCCAGTCACTGCGTCTATTTATGTCATGCCTAAATATAAAACCATACATGCTGCAGAATGCACACGTCCTAATGTTCCCATCAGGTTAAAGAGTAACGTTTTTCATTTTAGCTATCAGAAATATCTCTCGGGAAATTTAGAATGTATTAAATATTGGCCTGGAAATAATGGATTCTTCTTATTAAAGGGTGGGGGGGGAAAGGCAGCTTATGGGTCTGGGTCTAATAACACTGAACAGATAACCAGGAAAGATGGAATCAGTGTACAAAGACTCCTCTCTCTGTTATGAAGCTGCCATTGCAAGGAAGAAACTTGGTAATTCTGCTTATCAGCTCATCAGATAAAATAGCTTTTTCTGGCACAGAAGCTAGGCTGCCTCAAATCCAATTAGTCCTGGGTTGTTTACCTATGTGGAAAGTAATATTAAAAATAATTACTTGGACAACAAAAATCTGATCTGAAGTGTTTGTAAAGAGCTTATCCACAGTAGAAAACACAGATTTCTTAGAACCAATGATTACAGGAATGCATTTTGGGAAGGATCAATAATACCAGAGTATTAGTAAGTATATAAAAATACTGTTAAGAGGGAAAATCAATTACGTCCATGCTATTTCTAGGGTATTGGTGGTTTGATTTAAACTGTTTGATAAAAGCTGGTTGCCAACTATAATAGCATTGCCATGGGGGCTGTTATATTCTTTTTGCTTTAAGTTTTCAGTTGCCCAGAGTTGTTTTTGCATCTGGAAAATCAACTGATTCTGAATGGTGGATAGACTTAGATCTTCAGATACTAAGAAGATTTGTCTTGTCCAGATTTAGAAAACATTTAGATTTTGTTGTACTTTACTCTCATTTCTTTCCTTATTAAGAAGTTGGGAGGTGGCTCTAAGAAGAGAGTTAAATTTTAAACAGTAACAGATTTTATTTTTCTTTTTTTTTTCTTGGTAATGTAGATGCTAGTAAGTAACAATCTGTAGAAAATTTAAACACTTGCCTTTCACAGCTACCCATTAAAGTAACTGTAAGAGTTTACTTTGAACTGAGAAACTGTAACATAGAGAAGGATGAAAATAATCAGAGGACTTAAAAACTAAGTCAAGTGAAGATATTATAAAAGAGATGGGCATTTTTTAGCAGCGAGAAGACTAAAGTAGAGAGTGTAGTAGTGCTCTTCAAACACTGAAAAGGACATTATGCAGAAGTTTGTAGCTTTTTCTTTCTCAGATAAAGAATGTACGTTTCAAGGAGTCCAGAGTCTAGCTCAAGGGTGTCAAACTCGTGTTATCACAGCATCATCACGGGATATATCGTGACTTTTTTCCCCTTTGCTAAACCAGGTGTGCGCGTGGCCAGGAGGCCACAGGTTTGACACCCCATGTCTAGCTGAATACTGAGTGGGCAGAGTGGGGGAGCCTTTCTGGCAATAAGAGCACTTGATCATTCAAACTAGTGACCCCGAAGAAGCAATGGGACCCCCTGCATTTTACATGCCGAAGTTAAACAGTAATCTGTCCAACATGCTTTCGTTTAGATTCTTGCACTGTCTGAAGTTGTTATACTTGGCATAAATGGCATGTTCCACTTCTGTGAATTTGGAATATTTATTTTTTAGATAGCAGTATTTCCCTCTCCCTCAGATATAAAATAGAAGCCCTCCGACAAGAAGATTTAAAGCTGGGCTAGACATCCTCTAAGATACTGACTAGCTCTGTTCCAGCTTCTGTTTCCAGGCTATGAGACCTAAAAGGAGTTCGTACTTCTGTTCAGCTTGAGCATAGAACCACCGTTAGGAAGATCTGGGCCATGGCCTGCTTAATTGGGTCACAGTCCTTCAGTAGGCAAGGAAACAGCCCCACATTATTGCTGCTTCAGACATCAGTGAGGCAGACGAACAGTGGAGCCTGTTCCCAGTGTGCGCATGCGCAGAGTTGCAAGAAGAAGGGAACAAGCTAAAGAACAGGGGGTCGACTTGGGAGTAAGGCCACAGGTGGATGATGAATGGGCCCTCCCAGAGGAAATAAAAGAGGAGCGAAAGGGGAGGGGAGTTTGCAGGAGACCATTAGTTCACTTAATTGGTTTGTGACTTCGAGACTCCTTGCCAAGTTTTGCAGATATCGGCCTGGCAGCTCTCCAAGCCAGATAAGGTCCATGACTGTAAATCCTCCCTTGAAAGACTTTGCTGGATGTAAATGAGCAAAATTCACAGTCAATTAATAAAAAGGGGGTTTTGTCTGGACCAGGAGTTTGCTTCATGCTCTCGGGAAGCCTCGGTCAGAACAATCGGGAGGAAAGCTCTCTTTCTTTCCTTTTTTTTCTTGTAAGAATTTGATCCTTTTTTCCTTGCAGAAATTTTGTCCTCTGTTTTTCCACTCCCTCTACTTCAGCACATTGATATTGCAGTTAACATCTTTCCAGGAATGTCCTATATGAGTACTTTTCACGAAGTTCCTTTAAATGCATGAGGTTTGACGCCTGCCTTCACAGTTGTTGCTTGAACCTATTTATCCCCAATTTTCTTTTCTCTCCGTTCATTATCAGAACTTAACCAATGCCTTCTTGTCACTATTATATTTTGGTCATTTTGCATGATAACAAAGCAAGTAGTACAACCGGCTGTTCTATCCCCTATAAATACTCAATATTATTTTTATACATGCATTAAACCCTTCTTTGGAAGTTTCCCCCCCCCCTTTAATTATATCTGGGGCATTCTGAGACCCATGGAAAATGAAGTTCTCTACTAATTCTTGATCTTTCTCCTTTTTGTATTTTGTGACCCGCACACCTTCTTGCTTAGCATTTGGAAATTCTAGCAGTAAGTGATGGCTCTTGATTTATCAAATAACTAACTATGCCAGTAACCAAACTGGCTTTCATTTTGTCTCGTGTCCATTTGTGATATCACAGTGTTTCATTATAGAATATTATGGAAATAACAATTGCTTTGCTTATCTATAATTCTAACTGGTTGGCAGTCTTTTTAGATGGCAGAATATAGTAGCTGTAGCAAATTATTCCAGTGTTAATTTTGCTTATTTATTTTAAATCCCTATTAACAGTTCATACCCACTAATGCAGTTCAATATGCAAATACAGGTTGATACTACGCTTCTGTCCATGAATTCATTACCTGTGAAGTTGAAATATTATTAAAAATAATCAAAACATGAAGAATATACAGACTGTATCAAAAACAGGCTTCATGGCCAGTCACAAGGGATGTTCAAAGGCCATGTGTCAAAAGAGTGAAGAAGCCTTTAGAAGGAAATGGCAACCAATTTGAACATTTAATTCATATAGAAAATTGTATACAGGCCTGGTTTTTGCTACATCCTGTATCTATGTATGTATATGTGTGTGTGTAGAAATATCTTTATTTGCAATACAATAGATTGAAATGTGATTAGGGCAGTGGTTCTCAACCAATGCAATTCATGTCATAGTAAGGCAGAGCCCACACATGCCAGTGTAACCTGGTTTTCAAGGCACTGGACAGGGCATCCCTGGGCCTTTTTATTCATTTGCCTGATGTCTGGAGAAAGAAGGGGTTCATATGCGGTCCTCACCCAACCTGTCTTCAGCCACCATGCATTTGGGGGACTAACTGGGATTCACTTCAAATTATTATATAGTTCTCTGTGTGATCTGGGATCCAGCATCGGCTCTGCTTCAATACATTTGTCGGGTGAAATGAGGTTGTGAATGGGTTTCAGTCCCATTTGAGCCTTTTGACCTTCTGCGGTGGGGCTCAGTCGTTGCGCAGCCTTGCAACCTGGACAGCTGTCGGTTGAGGACAGTGTGAGATGTGAGATCCGTTATGCTTGAAGATGCAGGATGAAAACTTTTCCTCCCCCTCATTCCCCATGAGATAGCGCCCTGGTGTGTTGGTTGTATCTGAGACAGCGGCTTCTTGACACTTTGAGAAAGTGTTACTCACCTGGCCAAGCAGGCGGTAATTGCAGGCCTTGGCCATAAGTCCGAAACCATGGTGCATATCACCTGATTGGAGGCCATAGCTGCAGAGGTTGGCATCACGTAATGTAACAACCGAAGAGCCCAGAACCAAAAATGTGAGCATGCGCAGCATCAAACACACAGTGATTATATAGGACGGGATAGCAGGTGGGCGGGCCCATCCGCTGATTGGAACTAGTCTGAACCGGCAGTAGTTCACCTCTGCATGGCTGCCATAAAGGAAGGAAGACCCACGCAAGAAGACGTCTCTTGCCTTTTGCCATTGGGAAGTCGCTTTTTGTATAAAGTGTTTTATTTTTTCATTTTCATAACATATAACCACATAGCCAACATCGTATTGTTTTATTAAATGTTTACATCAATTCATCTTACCATCAACTCCCAAAAACAATTATTGGCTCTTCTGCTCTCCATACACCATATTTGTACCTTATCCATCACTTTCTTCTCCCTCTCTCCTCCTCCTCCCTATCTCCTTTCTTCCCTCTGTTGTCCTTCTCTTCTATACTTCCCCTTCCTCTCTTTCTCCTCTCTCCCCTTTCCACTCCTCCTTTCTCTCCTCTCTCCTATCCATCTCTTCTTCAACACTGGGAAGTCGCTTGGAAGAGGGATATAGGCAAGGATTGTAGATGAGGGGCTGGGACAGATGGGAAAAAAAGCTGGAAAGGAAATCACGATTGTGCTTGAATGGATTGCTCGCTTGTCTCCTCTCTTCCTCTGGCAGGGCTGCAAGAATTTTCATTTCTGATCTGATGGAGAAAATGAAATGTTGCGTGCCATGTCCCAAGTGGCACATCCAGAACTGCCTGTAAATAAATGAATGCCAGTCTCAGGGAGGTGGGGGGAATAACTGGGATCGTATCAGTGGGATGGAGGTTATTTGATAGAGTGCTTGATGAGATGTGCAATGAAAGGTTGAGAACCACTGTTCTAAAATTGGAAGCGACAGATCTCCCCAAAATAATACAACTTTTCCCTGCTAGAATATGGCATTTCTGAAATGTCATCAACATCCCTTCCTCTGCTGGAAATAGCTGCCCTTCTTAAAAGCCAAAGTTTATTATGTAGCTAGCAAGAAAATATTTACTTTTTTAATTCAAAATCCACTGATGACTAGAAGCACTCATTTTTTCTCTGATTAGCTTCCTCCTCTATTATCTTAACCTTTCTTCTCTGCAGTAAGCCAATAACTATTTTTATATTGCAAATTCTGCTCTATACAAATTGTATGCTTTTGTCGCTTCTTTGGTTAATATATATTGTTTTTCCGATGACAATTTTATTTTTATTTACAGGAATTAGAGCTGTGTCGGAGGCTGTATAAGCTGCATTTCCAGCTGCTCCTTTTATTTCAAGCCTATTGTAAACTTATCAGCCAAGTGAATGTAGTGAAAAAAGAGGCAGAGGTAAAGCCACTGAAACTTGGAGATTTGCTTTTACTACAAGACTTAAGGCTAAAAATTACATCTCTGAATTAAAAGGCTAAATAGGCTAATAAGGATGCCTATGCATTGTATCCCTTCTGCTTTTGTGCTCAAGTGTACACTCAAAAGCGGTTGATAACCAGTAAAAATACAGAATTTGATGGTTTATCGAAAGTTGGAAAGTACAAATTCATATTAAAATTTTATTAAACGTTAATCAGTTTGATACTCGATCCTCATCCAGCTTTATCAGATTTTACAGCATCCACTGTAAACGCTTGAGGTGTTTATGAGAACCTAAACCAATATTTAATAGCGGTAGCTGAATTTCTCATATCGGCTTAAATAGATTATTTAAACATACTTTCTGCCCAAAGCTGTCACAGAATAGGGGCGGGGGGGGGAATTGCCTCTGTTATCAAAAATGCATGTACCACTCCTCTTTTTTCCTAGGTGATAAACATTTCAGAAGAGCTTGCTCAGTTGGAAGCCTGCCTGAAAGAAGCGGCTGAGTCTGTTTCTTATAGCAGTATTGAAGACGCTGAAATCCCAGAAGGTTCTCAGACCAGCACAGAGACAGCCATTCATTCGCTCATTGAAACCTTGCGGAATAAGGAATTCTTCTCTGCTATAGCACAAGTCAAAGCGTTCAGGTACTGCCAAATGCCTTTTGCTAACATGCCTTACCTGGAAAGGATGCAACTGGAAGTGAGTCTCAATCAAGGACTTATGTAAATCTGGGTCCATGGAATAGAAGCGCGCTATAAAATAATGATATAGAATACGAATAGAAATAGACTAGGATATAATTCTTTATTGGCCAAGTGTGATTGGACGCACAAGGAATTTGTCTTTGGTGCAGATGCTCTCAGCGTACATAAAAGAAAAGATGCATTCATCAAGAATCATAAGGTACAACACTTAATGATAATCCTAGGGTACAAATAAGCAATTGAATCATTAAAGGATAACATTTAATACCAATGGAAGAGAACCTGGGGTTGAACCGTGGCACTCTCTGAGCTTGGCTGTTTTCTTGAGATGTTTCATGACCCAACTAGGTAACATTTTCAGTGATCTCAACGAGTGCAACAGGTGCTCCACAAGTAATATGCAATGCAGTCATTTTGTCTACTTTTGGAAAATGGGTGGGTTTTAGCAGAGGCCTCATATTAATTATGCCTGGAATTATACCTCCATAGGAAACCTTAGATAGCAATAGCGCTTAGATTTATTTATTTTTTTATTAATTTTTATTTCTCATATATACCTTCACAATTATATAATCTCATAACTGTTGTTAATAAAATGTATTTCTAACAATTTTTCTCCCCTACAGTTGACAATATAATTGAGATTGCTTTCTTACCATCCCATACACCCATCTTATTTTACAACAATCCTACTTCTTCTTCCTTCCTTCCCTCCTTTCTCTCCTTCTCTCCTTCCTTCCCTCCTTCCTTCTCTCCTTCCTTCCCTCCTTCCTTCCCTCCTTTCTTCTCTCCTTCATTCCCCCCTTTCTTCTCTCCTTCATTCCCTCCTTTCTTCTCTCCTTCCTTCCCTCCTTTCTTCTCTCCTTCCTTCCCTCCCTCCTTCCTTCCCTCCTTCCTTCCCTCCTTTCTTCTCTCCTTCCTTCCTTCCTCCTCTCCTTTCCCTTCTCTCCTTCCCCTTCCTCTCCTCTGCTCTTCCCCTCTTCTTCCCTTTCCTCCCCTCTCTCCTATTCTTGCATTCCCTCCGTTTCTTCCTCTGCTTTTCCCTCTCTCCTTTTCCTCTCTTTTCTCCTCTCTTTTCTCCCCTCCTTCCTATCTTTCCTTCTACTCCTCTCTCCAACCCCGTTTTTCCGTTGTTGTGTTTACATATTTTCCTCTTCAGGGGGTGACCTGATTCTTTTTTTTTTCTTAATTGAAGGTTATAAAAAAAGGCAAGATTTACAAAATACAAAAGAGATAAAACTCTTTTGTAAAAGCGCTTAGATTTATATGCTGCTTCAAAGTGCTTTCCAGCCCTCTCCAAGTGGTTTGACAGAGTCAGCCTATTGCCCCCAACAAGCTGGATCCTCATTTTACCCACCTCGGAAGGATGGAAGGCTGAGTCAACCTCACATTAATTTGGAATAGAGATGATCAACTTGGATCTTGATAAGAACGGTGACTAATAACTTCATTTCTGTGTCCCCAGGTGCATTTGGCCCAATGACATATTTGGCGATTCCGAAGAAGATCCAATTCAAACCCTCTTGCACATATTTTTCCGTCACCAGACCCTTGGCCAGACTGGTAGTTTTGCAATAGTTGGCTCAAAACAGGATATGTCAGAAGCCAGCTCAAAATTAATGGAACTGAATTTAGAGATTCGGGAATCCCTGCATGTGGTGCAGTCATACCAGCTTCTTGCAAAACACACGGCTGTGAGAAATCTCAGTACAGGATTTTGAACCTCAGAAGAAGACTAAACAATGGGGAGGGAGTCCCTTTTATCAAGCACCTTTCATATCAAATGAAACTCTTCTATTCTCCAGGGAAGAACTTTTTTAGAAACAAGTTGCATAGCGTAGTAACAGTTCTCAAAACAGCTGACATCATCTTTAATGCTTTTTTTTAATACCTAGTATCAGTAATACGAACTCTTTAAAAAATTGCATTAGAGAAAAGGGCTAAAAGCAATGCCTATAAAATGCATTTTTTCCCATCATAAACAGAAAGTACATGGAGTTGCAATAATAGCCTCTTAAACTTGGAGATAATTAAAGCAGGTGAAATGAGGCTAAAATGAACAGTGGATGTTTTGGCTGAAGACCTGTGAAAACTTTCTGGCTTTTAGACAGTAAATAGTCAAATAATGTTGAATTCATAATTTTGACAGTGTCATGAGGAATGTGCTGTATTATACCGGATATATAAAAGACTGCAAAATCCATTGATTTATCAATATTGTATTTACAATTTATTCTATTTTTGCCTGTAATGATAAAATTTATGCGTGTGAGTAGGAATGAATGGCTATCCAATCATCATATTTTGAGGATATGGATGTTTGATAAAGTTTGAGCATGCCGAAAAAAAGCACTGCAAGATTATTTTTGGAAAAAAGTATATATTTTTAGCGTTAATTCCTAGTCTGTAAATGTTCTGGAGTTTAATAATATTTAAAACTGGAATTATCCAGGTTTTTTTTTTAAAAAAAGGAATAATATATCTCTAACTGGTTTGGAATGCTGCTCAGTTTTCTGATCAGTGTTTATAACAAAATAACTGATAACTAACCAAAAAGTAGCTGCTTGCAGAGACTTTAAAAATGTATATTAAAGATGCCTATTGTCCTTCAGAACTCACTAGAAAAAAAAATAACTTATTTTATTCTGTACATATTCTAGAAATTGTATAGTGTAAAATCCAGTATTTTTTGTATAAATGTTCAATGACGTTTTATTTGAGAATAGTGTTCACGGCTTGGGGGGGGGAGTGGGGGGGGCAAGATAGGACAGTGTTTATATCTGTTGTTCCGCAGAGTTCAAGAGAAAGTTTTAAGCAGGCATGTTTCCCATGATTTCTCTTTTAAGCAAAGGCATTGGGGACTACGACAGGGGGAGGACGCAGCCTACGGATCCCAAAAGTCAGCTTTGTAATTCCTTCTCCAAGCATGCAGCATAAAAGTAACTGAATTCCATTTTTTTAAAAAATACATTTTAATGAAGCAAAAAGGGTGAATGTAATTCCTCTATTCAATGCCAATTGAATCCCCAACATTTTATGTATCTCATGCACTGTGATTAAAAATAAAACAAGTTTCCAGGGAGTAAAACACGAAAGAGTTAGCGTGGGCTTTTTTCATTGGGGAAATCAGTCCCGTTAAATATGTTGAAAGGCAGTCTTTATTTACACAACTATTGGACGGATAACACAATTCTTGTTCCATTTCAAAACTCTTGTTAACAAGATATATAGCGCATTCATAGTCATTTTTTTATCCTGGTAAAATTGAATTATTTTGAAGTTTCTGTGTTACTTTAGGTTGCGTTCTTAATTATTTAATAACCCATTACAAGTATACATGTAGTTTTTAGTTGTATAATTTTTACATATTTTATCATTCTCCTTTGTGTGTGTGTTTTGTTTTTTAGGGGGGGCTTGTTCAAATAAAAATGTCAATCTACTCTTTTGTGTACTTTCTCAAAGAATTTAAGGGTTGCAATCTGGTGGAGAATACTTGATATAACATTGTGTTTAATGCAGTTTAATACTTACTTTTAAAATCTTTATTTTTAACCGTGGAGTATGCATATAAACAGACTGTCCCTGTTAGGTTGGTGCTGAAGGACTTGAGTGGAGAAGGAAGCATCTCCAAAACAATTAACGGGATTGGTGCTTCCGGAGCCTCACATCATATTTGCCTTTTTAGGAATTAAACTTTTTAAAAGCAAAATTATAATTTGAGAGCCTAGCTTAATCATTCGTAATGACAAAATTGTTAATTTTCTAATGTTCCCAGATTTCATTTCATAAACTGAAAATTCCCCACCTGTGGAAAGACTTGGGTCCAGGCCAGGCATGAAATGCTCTAATCTTTGCTACTGGTTTGGAACTGGGAGTGGCCACTTGCATGCAGCCCTTCTGCGCATGCGCAGATCGTCCATGATGATGTCTGGATGGGTGGGTGGAGCTTCCTGCCACCACCACTACCGGTTTGCCCGAACTGGGGCAAACCTCTGGTTCAGGCCCCCAGACTAAAAAGTGTGTCAGCTGCCTGGATCAGTAATTTTGACTCCTGATGCCCATTTCCTATCTGAGACTTCTGTAAAACAGTGAGAAATATAATTTGTATGGTTTAATTGGCAGAGTAGTATTGGCCACTTATGAATGCTAATTTCATTGCTCCTCATTTTTGCACAGTTTTTAAACGTATTAAGAACTTTACCATGAAAGATTCAAAACCAGATCCTGCTCTCACTTTCAGTGTGCGCAAAATTTGAGTTGCCCTAATAGCATACAAGTTTTCACAAACATTTGCATAAGTGCTACATAAAAATGACCTAAATCAGGGGTCCTCCAACCCCCCTGCCCGTGGACCAGCACCTGTCCGTAGCATGCCAGCAATCGGGATGTGCAAAGGAACGAAGCCCCATCCATGGGATGCAGGTAGCATGCAAAACCACACCCCCTCCAGAATCTGTGGAAAAACCTTTCTCTATGGAACCGGTCCCTGGTGCCCAAAAGATTGGGGGGGGGGCACTGACCTAAATTACACAATTTTTAAAACATAAAAAGCAAATATCCACATTGTATCTCGAGTGATTACTTTGTAACATCGAAGCAAGTCTCTATTCCTGGTAAGTATAATATAATTGAACAAAACATGCAGTGGTTTTACTAGGACAAGGAAAAAATAGTGATTTTAAGAGAGTCGGTTTGGTGTAGGCATCAGGCTAGAAACTGGGAGACAAGAGTTCTATTCCTGTTTTAGGCACAAAGCCAGCTGGCTGATTTTGGCCCAGTCGCATAATCTCAGGAAGGCGGCAAGGGCAAACCACTTTGAAAGCCTGGCCAAGAAAACTATAGGGACTTGTCCTCGGGTAGTTGCCAACAGTCAAGACTCCTTGGCACAAAACTCTTGGTATAAATCAAGTTCATTCTGCCCTAAAAAAATAATTAGAAGAACCTACCCTATACAGAAGCAAAGTGGGAAAATTGGTCACCTTTACCTAACAGTAGGAAAGCAAAAATTCTAAGCAAGAGTCAAAATGTAGGTCAGCCAGAGAGATGAACTGCAATGAAAAAAATCAATGGAGGGATGGGTTTCATTTGCATTCTGGTAGCACATTTGAAGAGCTGGAAGGGACCTTGGAGATTGTCTATCCAACCCCTTGCTGAAGCAGGACACCATATACAATTTGAGACAGGTGGCTGTCCAGTCTCTTCTTACAAAACCTCCAGTGATGGAGCACCAACTATGTCTGGTTCCACTGGTTAATTGTTGTTAGAAAGTTGCTCCTTAATTCCAGATTGCTTCCATCCTTGATTAGTTTCCATCATTTCTTGTCCTGCCCTTTGACGCTTTGGAAAATAAATTGAACACACACACACCCTCCTTGTTTGTGGCAGCCTCTCAAATACTGGAATACTGATACCATGTCACCCCTAGTCCTTTAATCTCGTCAAACCCAAAGCCTGTAATTGTTCTCCATATGTTTTAGTCTCCAAGCCTTCAATCGTCTTACTTTTTCAAAGTCTCAACATTCTTTTTGTAGTGTGGTGACAAACATAACATTGATTAATGCTTCATGCAGCCTCCAGACCTATGTTTCTCAACCTTGGCAGCTTTAATACATGGGATTCAACTCCTAGAATTCCCCAGGCAGAATTCTGAGAGTTGAAATCATCATATCTTACAATTGCCAAGGTTGAGAAGCACTGCTTTAGACAATGGAGGCTGCTCTCAACATCAGCAGCCAATCTGGGATTCTTGGCATGCCACTTCCCCTTTCTTTGCCAAACAAAAGAGCGGTCCATTCCGCCAAATTCCTTTGTGCCACCTGGACAAGTCCAGGTCTTGCTCATTTCATGGTGGTGCACACAACTGTTCTCTAAAGCTGACATGCTGTTCCATCATTCCGAAATATTCTGAGATTCATCGTAATGAATGAGTGGAGCAACTGACTCCCTTACAATCAAACCCTCTTGATTTTTTTTCTGCCTGAAAAGGAAGATAGAGGTTACCATTTTATTTAAACCTTGAGGCCATGGATGATTAGACTCCCATCAGTTCCCAGACAGAGCCCAGATTGAACAGGAAAGCAATAACAGGATTATATCATGTCAATTAATGTATACCTTAAACTACAGCAGTGGCCAAAATTGTGAAAACCTTTTGGGGGAAAGTGTATTTTTGAGGCTTGATGGCGAATAACACAACTTTCTTTTTTGAGTGATACCATAAAATTATATATCAATGGAAACATAATTTAATCCAGAATGTAATGCAACAAAGTTTGCTCAATTATCTGTATTCTATGAGGTTATAGCCAGATATAGCTAGCAACAAAACCCAGTGAATAGAAGCAATCATTCAATCTTGGTTTCACATTATAACAGCTGCAGAATTAAAAGACTCGATTCGCTCCATGGGAAGATGACGCAAGGCGGTAATTCATGCTAAAGGTTACCCAACTAAGTATTAACTGACAAGGTGGTAATTTTTGTATATCTTATTTTTTCTATGATGATAATTTGTGTATTTCTCATTTTTTCTGTGTGTTTTTTTTCTTCTTTAAAACTGCTACTCTTAATAGCAAATCCTTCATAAGTTACATTGCATTACATTCTTGATTAAATTATTTGTCTTGGTTGAACTACCAAACTGCCGACCTTTATGATCAATAAGCTCAGCATCTTAGCTACTGAGCCACCGCGTCCCTTACACTTACACTACATTAACCTTACACTAACCCTTATAGTTATTGATTACTAACTCTAATAATCTCCTCCCCTCTGCTCACGCTTAAATTGAGCATTGCTAGAAACCGAAAACTGAATAGTTGTCCATTCCAAGTTACAGAATGCTTGCACCGAAGGAATCAGTGATATTATATGGAACTTTTAAATGACTTATATGGAACTTTTAAATGACTTATTTAAAACTTGAAATGACTTATTTAGGTCTGGCATGCGTTATAAGCATTAAGCAAAGAGGGTGGGGAAAGCAAAGTAGAAATAACTCACAATTATAATCATGGTCACTTTATTAGAGATCTATGCTCAAAAAAAATAAATGAAATTACCATATTGACTCCGGGCAAAGGAAATCTTAGTTGTTTCTAAACTTCAGATGGTGCATTATCTATGAAACGCATTATCACCGACCAACAAAATAATTCCCCTTCATAGGTGTGCTGCTGAGATCATGCTCCCTTCTACCCATATCCATAATAATGCCTACGAACCTGGCACCCAAACAATTATGCCATTTTACTCAGCTGGAAGACAACACGGGTGCTGCAGTACACAACTTCTGAATTCTGGCAACTTGTGCTTGCTTTTTCCATCCTAACTTGAGTTCTTTCGACAGTGTGCTATCACAACTTTTTTCCATAAGGTTTGCTTGCCTGCATCGGCAATTGTCACTGTGAAACACTACCACAACAGTTGTGAATTTTGCCTGAGGTTGACCCCACAGTGCATTCTTCTGTCTGGAGCAGCTTCTCCTATGAAGAAATTAAGACGATGATTTCCTTCCCGCATAACAACAACAAAGACTGACCGCTTCCGTCAGAAGCAAAATAAAAATGACGTTTGTCAGAATACGCCGAGCAGATTCCCCTGCTTCTTAATGCAATTATAACAAATGAGGTAGAGACGTTTGGTTCCATCATGACTTACATCTCTCCGCTTCCTTGGCAGGCTTCCCTCTCTTGGCAAACAAACAAAACTTTCTCCTCGGTACAATTTGACGGCGAGGAACTCTCCTCTACGCCCTTTCCTTAAATAATATACTTGAAACTAAAGGTGCTGTCGCAAGAAAGCCGTTTCCCTTTGCATCTTCCACAAAGATCTTGCCGATGAGGTCTCTTGGGATCCACATGGCGCAGTTTCACAGAGCAGGAACATCTGGTCTGCTTGCAGCTCTGAAATCGACAGACAAAAAACGTAATAGGGTAACTGAAAATACAAGCGACTTGGATCTGTATATGAATTCCGCCAGAACAAAATTTTGACTAGGGACAATATGATTGAGGTCAGCTTTTCTGCATTTAGGCATACTGTTTGGTTGCAAGTGGGATGACTAACATTGCGTATTATTGGTGGTGGTGGTGGTGGTGGTGGTAGCAGTACCAGGTTTCCCCAAAAATAAGACAGATTTTATTTTATTTTGACCCCCAAAATAAACACTTGGCCTTAATTTCGGGGATGATTTTTTTTTGGGGGGGGGAAGGCTTATTTTAACGTATGTGCTCAAAAGCCCAATTGGGCTTATTATCCAGGGAGGTCTTATTTTAAGGGAAACAGTAGTAGTAGTAGTAGTAGTAGTAGTAGTAGTAGTAGTAGTAGTAGTAGTAGTAGTAGTACCCTGTTTCCCTGAAAATGAGACCTCCCAGGATAATAAGCCCAATCGGGCTTTTGAGCACATATGTTAAAATAAGCCCTCCCCCCCAAAATAAGCCCACCCTGAAAATATTGCAACACAGCAGCAGCCATGAGGTGACTACGCTCACTGTCTCCTGCACCTCAAAAATAAGACCTCCCCCAAAATAAGGCCAAGCATTTATCTCGGGGGGGGGTCAAAAGAAAATAAGACCCTGTCTTATTTTCGGGAAAACACATTATAAGTAGTAGTAGTAGTAGTAGTAGTAGTAGTAGTAGTTGTTGTTGTTGTTAGTAGTAGTAGTTTTGGAACATCTGGTTCAAGGAAGTGGTACATGTTCTGGCGATCTAAATTCTTCAGCCTCAGCTACTTTAAGATGTATGGATGTCAACAACTAGAATGCTGTCTGGGGAAACCTGGGAGTTGACATCCACACATGTGGAAATTGCTGAGGCTGAGAAACACTCATCTAGATGGTTATTACAAAGCTCAAAATCTCTCCCTGCTCTCAGATGGCCTAACAAGAGGGAAGGAGCCTTTATATGTCAAGGATGTGGCAGTAGAAAGAACCAACTGATATGGAAAAAGAGGATTAAACTATGTACTTCCTATATTCAAGAATTCTTGCAAAGAAGGAAGTCTGACTTCAGGTGTTCTATTTACCTCCATTTTATTATGTAGGAAAGTTATGAAGTATCCAATGATACACTAACGCTCAAAATCCCCATATTAAAATCGATATACACAACTTTCAGTTGTTCCATTCATAATACCAGTCTAAAAAACTAGGTTAACTGGGAATATATTAATTTATCCATTCCCAATTCATTAAAAACATAACTTCTATGAACTAGTATCCCTTGAAATCAATACCAAGAATATTTTAAGATTTCAGAATGAAATTATAGTTTTCAGCTTGGTCCCACCAAATGAGATATTAACACAGGTTTGTAAAAAGTGAGCACGTATGTTAAGGACACAAATGTACTTTACAGAGCAAAAAATCCATACACCTTCAAAGTGAAAATATTTCTAAGCTGTCTTCCACAAACACGCCCAGAATCTACCGATATTTTGTTTTGCAGATTTCTGAATCCACCAATTAAATCCACCCACCAATCCACTAATTGATGGATTTAGTCAGCTGACTCCACCCATAGATGCAGTGGTTCGTAGCCATCAGCCACTCTTGACTCATTTCCCAAAATTAAGTAGAATAAAACCAGATCTGTACCTGGGTGAGAGGTTACTAGGGAATCTCAGGGCTTGATTGGGAAATCCCACCAAGTAGGAGCAAACCACTTCCATCTGCAGTCAAGCAAACTAAAGGGAGCGACCAACAGGGATCTTAATTTTAGGGCAGCTGAATTTTTTTTAATCTGCAGAGTTACATTCAGTGGAATTAAAGAGCATCACATGGTGAAGATGAAGATTTTTTTTTTAAAAAAACCATCAGAACAGCTGCTTTTGGGAGCAAAAACTTAGCAATAGCAATAACAGTTACTTATATACCGCTTCATAGGGCTTTCAGCCCTCTCTAAGCGGTTTACAGAGTCAGCATATCGCCCCCCCCCCAGTCTGGGTCCTCATTTCAGCCACCTCGGAAGGATGGAAGGCTGAGTCA